TCTTCTACAATCCAACCGTTGGAAATTATTTAATTTAGGCAATTATTTAAATAGCAATACTTCTAAAAAGGTTTAAGTTAATAAAAACACCTGTATACTTTCTCTTAAAAATAATAAACTTAAAACTTTTTTAAAAAATTCAATAATACTCTAAATTTTAAAAAAAAATCTCAAAATTATAATTAAATTTTTAATAATATTTTAAAAATATTCTTGAACGTTAAAAAAAAATTCATTAATACACTTCCATTTAAAAAAAACTTAAAAAACATATTATGTTTAAAAATATATATGTAAATCTACATATATGTATCATTTATTAATTATTTACATGTTACTCTTAGAAGTATATTTGGAGCATTAAAAAAAATTGAAAAATATTAATTAAACTTGGTATAATTTTTAAACTCTTTTTCAAAATTTTATTTTCTGAATAAAGTATCAAACATGCAAATTAAATGACATACCCCTATCCACTATCCAGAGCCGTCTCTGTTTCTAGAACACTAGGTCCATCCAAAATCCATGGCGCAAACACACCAACGAGGAGCTAGAAAAATTCAATAATGGCGTTTATGCATCTTCATCATCGCCTTCCATCTCCATCGCTATCATTTCCGGGAGCTTCACCGCCGGTTTACAGATCATCAATCTTCGCATTATCTCGCTTCTCTCCGCCATCAGTTTCATTTCCGTCCCATAAGTTCACCGATTTCACCAACTGCCTTCTTCATCTACCTCCAAAATCTCTGAGTTTCGCGCTCTCTTGGACTCTTGCGCTCGGAGTAGCTCTCTCAGGTAATCATTCTTGCAAATTATCGTCGGTTAGATGAAGAAAGAAAAAAGGAATGTTAAATTCTGTCTGAATTGTTTCGAGCTTGAATGTTTAGGTTATATAATTGGTTTTAGATACTCGTTTGTTTATTGAAGTGATTGGCTCTGCTCTATCATAGAAACTTAAGAATTTTATGAAATGCTAACAGTAATAAGTGAGTGTACCTTGTAGGAGTTGGATTTGCTGACGCCAAAGTTGGGGTTAACAAACCAGAATTACTTCCCAAGGAGTTCACCTCTGTCATTGATGTCGCTGGGTTTCTATCTGATGGCCAGGTGTGGTTGCTTCGCCTCGTTCCTTTTCTTTTTCTTTTTTTTCCTTTTGTTGCGTTCCTTGATGTAATTTAGGGTATTTGATCATGATCAAGTTGCCATTGCTGGTTCTGATTTTCTATGAACAGGAATTTAGGCTCAAACAAGAAATTGCTGACATTGAGAAGGAAACTGGATATAAATTGCGAGTTTTGGCCCAAAATTATCCTGTGACACCTGGTATGTTCTATGTTTTATCTTCAGCAGATCATTGAATTAATGTCACATTTAATGGCGAGGACTTTATTATTAAAATTTCAACATACATTCACTAAATCTTACTAGAACATTGTATATGTGATTTATTGACACTTCATAACTTCGAAAGTTTCTCACACACACGCATGTCAAGTTTATCAAGTTAGATAGATGATCTCTAATCTAATCGGCAGAAACAATCAATTTAATGGTCTTTACAGGGCTAGCGATCAAAGATTTTTGGCAAGTGGATGATAAAACAATCGTGTTTGTTGCTGATCCTACATTTGGTATGAACAATGTCACGGTACTTTTCCACACCTATGTCTATGATGCTATTGACATTGACATTGATTGATATCTTCATTCAGGTAACATATTGAACTTCAACGTTGGAGCGTCTGTCGATTTAGATATTCCAAGGAGCTTTTGGAGCCGTTTGGCTGGAAAGTATGGAAACATATTTTATTGGAAAGAGAAGGTAACATCTCCAATCGATACTTCTGTACAACAGTTACCGTTGTGAGTTTTTGCTTGGTTAGTAAAATATTGGTCGTAACAAGAGCATCTTGTTGAGGATTGTTGGGAGATGAGTCCCACATCGGCTAATTAAGGGGTTGATCATGAGTTTATAAGTAAGGAATGCATCTCTATTGGTATGAGGTCTTTTGGGAAACCAAAAGTAAAACGATGAAAGCTTATGCTCAAAGTGGACAATATCATGCCATTGTAGAGATTCATGATTCCTAACACATCTCATGTTGTCGCTTTGGTGACTTAAACAGGGTGAAGAGGCATCTATTGAAGCAGCTGTCATGGCGATATCTAATTGCTTGAGAGAACCAGTCGGGCCAAATAACTGTTCCGAGATAAAGTAACGGCTTACAACATCGGAGAATTTTGTACGTATTTTAAACTAGATTTGGATGTTCTGACAGCAATACATAATATATAAGCCTTCTCTTGCTGCAATCTGCATGTCTTAATCAATTCCTGTTTTGTTCCTCATTTAAGAACGTAGTGTATGTCTAATACTTGAAGAGAAATAAATGGGAATAGTGATTAAAAAGGTATGAAGGAATTGAGTATTTGTGTAGGCATTTGTATCTCAACTGTGCAGAAACGAAGAGAAAAAAAGGAGGTGCATTTTTTAGTTGCCTAGTAGCCAGTTATGATATGAACACTAGATGCAATCCACCCCCCAGTTTTCTGTTTTCTTCTTTCTTCTACAATCTTCTGTAGTTCTTCAGGCGGACAAGGGACTGTTAGAGCTCCCTTTTGTTGGAACCCATATTCTTCCTTTGCCAGCTCCAATAGCCTCAAGAATGCAGGGTTAGACAAGAACTTCAAATTAATGACAAACCTCTTTCTCTCATCACCATCCGCTGCAAATACCACAAAATGGCCTTCTTCCACGTCTTTCGGCACCATAACTGCTGCATTGAATTCTTCATCGAAACTATCGTGTTTAGGTTCTTTAGACATCAGTGGAGAAAGGCTCTTTTGGAGCATAGAGATGAATAACCTTAGCTTCATCAGGATGAAATTCCGAAGTCTGTAGTAATATTTCCCTTTTGTTCCCACGTTTTGGCGTGGTAAACAAATGTTTATGTGAACTCGAGACTTCAGATAGAGCCAAGTGAGACTTAGGAGAAGATTTATATCGAGTTGGGGACGTACATCAGAAATTGCACTGAAGCTTCTGAGAGGGCCATGTCTGAACCATTCCATGTGGGTAGCATCAACATACCATTTAATGCTGACTTGGTCAGATAACTTTTCTGTCTCAGAAAAATGATAGTCAGCGTTAGGTTCCTAAACAAAAACTAGACAATTTAGGATGAGATTTGATAACTTAGATGTTTGTCCTTAATCTGTGGAAAAAATGAAAAAGAGACACGTTACTTGGCTCAGTAAGGTTGTAAAATTATTGTTCCTCCCCCAATAATCCCGTCTTTCTCTAGTTATTAATTTACCGTTCTTGCTCTCAAGATCTTAGGCTCATGAACAGTAATTTCAGGAAACACTCTGATAAAAGTAGTTGTGTTTTCCCAAAGAAATGAGGAGGATGGGATGAGATTCAGATCAGATGATGAGAATTGTTATCCTTGATCTGATCTGATCTTAGAATAGGAATGGGATAGATAGCTGCTGGTTCTTGGTTTCCATTGCCATCACTGCATTTAATGCAGTGTGGAGGAGATATTGAAGAGTCCAATACTTTGAACGACCGACACCCTTCTGTTGACTAAGAAATTTTATCGTTGGCTTGGTCTTACTGTCTTAAGTCTCAAGTTTAACGCAGGGTGTTGAAGATTGGACTGCCGACGCCTAGTCGCCTAGCGTCCCCTGCAGGTTCCAAGAACGGGAAGGTACCACTAAAGTACAGTTTTTAGAAAGAAAGAACTTCCAGGACGTCCGTGGGATTGATCATTGTTTGGAGATTTTCATTACTTTTTGTTGGTGAATTCAAAGGTGGAAAATAGGATAAAAGTGTTCCAACATGTTTGAGATATTAGTGTGAAAATCGATACAATTCATTCTCCTTCCATCTTTTTAGACGGGTGTTTCTAAAGGTAAAAAGGTAGGGGTGAACAGCGTCGCGTTTATGCTTGCCTAAGGCGTGTTGTCTATAGCCACATGTCAAATGTCCCAGTCATACTTGTTTAAGATGTGTCCAAGGCGTGTTGTCTATAGTCACATGTCAGATGTCCCAGTCATACTTTGTTCAGGATGTGTTGTCCATGGTTGCATGTCCGTTCCAAACCCCTTTTACATGTTTTCATCTTAAATAAGTATTTACTTCATGTTTTTTAGGCGTGTTGTCTATAGCCACATGTCAAATCTCCCCGTCATAGTGTTGACCCCATTTACATGTTTTCATCTTAGATAGGTATTTACATGTCTCTTCCAAACCCCATTTACATGTTTTCATCTTAGATAGGTAGTTACTTTTTCATGTTGTGTCAATACGGGGGTGTATGAAGTTCACCAAAATCATGTCTTATACCGACTAGGGTTAAAATGCTCCAAAAGTTCAGACATAACTACTCTTTCTCCTACCTGAATTTTGTCTCTTCCTACCCTAAATTATATACTATTTAAGTCGGTGTTTTTTTATTTGCTTATAGCCGTATAATGATATTTTCTTCAATTTTTTAAAATTGTTTTCAAATATATTTCTTCGCTCACGTTTTTTAAAACATTTATCGCAAACGTGACTCGAAGCTAGAGCGTACGTCGACATTGTCGTAAAGTGAGGTTGTGACAAATAGTATCAGTTTACCTAACTTGAAACATCATTCAAAAGAGTTTATAAGGTAGCTAAAGTAACTTTTATTAATAGATAAAAAGTTATGAATTTATATAATTTAACTTTTATTTAGTTATGAATTTATATAATTTAACTTTTATTTAGTTATGAATTTATATAATTTAACTTTTATTTAGTTATGAATTTATATAATTTAACTTTTATTTTTTACAAATAACTGTCTGTATACTCATAACCGTTAAATCTATCATTGATTTACAAGATATAAAGATAGTACACATTTGAAATTTGGTTTGATTTTCTATCAATAAACATTCCCATATTTATTTTTAATATATATTATATTAACAAAACAATAAGAACAAAAAAAGTAGGCCGGTACTGATTTTAAGCGGAAAAATGTTGTGCTAGTATTTAAATTAAAATTTTATTTTTCCTAATAAATTTCTTACACGACGTCATGTCCGGTCCGGTTCCACCTTCACGATCATCACGCGGTCCGTAAGCGCTCAAACCCAGGCCCGGGGTCATCGGAGCTAGGAAAAACCTGAAAACCGGTGACCATCGCCGTCGGCGGACCACGGCGGCACCGTTGCTCCATTTCCGTCACCGACTCAGGGCGGCCGGAAAAAAGAGCCTCCACGGATCCATCCCTACGATTCCGCACCCATCCCTTCAACCCTAACTCCTTAGCATTCTCCACCGTCCAGTCCCGATAGAACACTCCCTGAACCCTACCCTTAATCACAACCCTAACCTGCAATTGCCAAAGCCCCAATTACCACCAAAATCGAACACTGCGTCAATCGCCAAGCAACAGAGAAATCCAAAAGCAATACTCACCGTTTTTGCCTGATTGGACTGAGGAGTCTCCGGACCAACCTGATCAGAAACTGTGGAGGCCATTGATGTCAGAGGAGATCGAAAATGAGGTAAACGAGATGTGAGCAGAAGATGAAGAGGAGGAGAAGAAAGAAGAAGACGACGGCGAAGCGGAAGAGAATTATGAAGAGGAGAAAAGCTAGAATAATGGATAACGGAGAATCGAGAATGAGAACCAGCATCGATGAAGCTCCATTTATGGTCAGGGTTCCGACATGGAAGGAATCTGGTAGAGCGATTGCGAATCAGTGGACCGATTGATCCTCCTAAAGCTGCCGAAGATGCCATTCATTTCTTTTGCTTTCCCCAATTGGATTATCAATATGGAAACTTCGGGTTTTATGCAAATTTCTAGAACTCACTGGACTTCCTTTTTCCAATTAAAACAATTTTGGGAATATTTTGCACCAAATAGCCCAATAGGCCCAATAGGCCCAATGAGACAACAATTGTTCTAAATGGATCAAATAGCCCAATAGGCCCAATGAGACAACAATTGTTCTAAATGGATCAAATAGCCCAATAGGCCTCATAGGCCCAATACTCCATACACACACATAGATATATATGGTGTATTGAGCACTCGAGTTAATAAGACACAGACCAAAACGTGCCCGTAAAAAGCTCTACTAAGACAATGATGGGTTGGAGTTAGTCAAATCTAATATGAATCGTATATAGTTGGAGTTTTCGGATCTCTTAAGGTTTCCTCATTTGAAATCCCTGAAGAAGAGGATCAAGTATCGAGATGCAGTCATATCACATTTCAATCGGGTATATATATTTTTAGGTTTTCGTATAGTACTACACAATTACAACCCGTCCTCGCTCAATTGATATACAACATCTATGCTTTAGTACTTAGTACAATAAATTTGTGGTTCCCTATATCTCTAGTGTGTGCCTCGACTTGGTTGTCACAAGCTCGACGAATGCTTTTTTCTTTAATACTAAAACAACATGCTATACTCATTACATATATTATTCCGTTCTAATGAAAGCGTGCATCATTTAAAATTATCTTCTAAATTTAGTCTCTATAATTTATAAAATTAAAATTTAATTCATATGGTTTATAAAATTTCATAAAATACTTTTAAATAGATATATGATTTGGATTTTATCATGCAAAATTTTCAAACTATGGGGTTAAATTTATAATTTAATTTTTTTTTAATTTATCAGATGGCTAATTTAATACATGAATGCGAATCCTTACCTTATTTATTTCTGTCATTGGTCAAAATAGAATGAAAAATAAATAAATAAAACCTAAATCAAAGGCAAAAGCACGTGCCGTTTGAATTAGGAACTTATTAAACATAAGATTTGAATCTTACATTTAATTTAAGTTTAAATGACCATGAACTAAAATATTCGTCTAAAACTTCAACCGACTCAAGTATAATTTAGTAATGTAGGACGATATTAAAGTTATATCAATTAAAATAAATCATCAACGACTTTTTATATCATTTATTCGCTAATTTAGTCAAGCAAATAAGATTAGGTCACCATTACTTATAGCTTGCATGATAAGTGGTATCAACATGCACCGATACTTAAAACAATGTACAATCGAGGGCTCGTCGGGCAAAACAACGTTAGGATGCATCCCTTTAATTCTGGGCAATCCCTTTATATTTATAGGGTATTTGTCCATCCCAACAATGATGTCAAGTTTGTAGGATTACGTGCCATAATCTGATCGTCACCGGGTTGATTCAAATCCTTATTCCAGAGGAAGAGCGGCAAGTCTGTTGTCTTCGAGTCTTTTAAGACATTGTAGATCGTGATGAACCGATGGTCAAACAAACGTAATTTTTCGACATTTGGCTTAATCTCATTGCTCACAACATTTAAGTGTGAAAGTGTTTGGGTTTATAGACTATATGATATAATTAAAAGTGTAATTGTTTTGAACAAAGAAGTTGGACAGATAGGGGCAATTGACTATTCAAATTTTGAAAAGACCTTTTTTTTAAGGCTGCAAATTCTAAGGACTTTTCGGCCATTTGACCGTTGGAAACCCAGAAGAACCATAGTTTACAAAAATCGGCGACCGGTCTGAGTTTTTTTTTTCCTTAAAAAAACCCCAAATAAACACAATTTTTCAATGACGTATAGAGAATAAAATAAGCATATATTTTTTAAATAAATTTGTTTGTTTAGTCCCATATTTTTTTTATATTAAATTATAATTTTAGTTCCACTACTTTCAAATAATTTTGTATATAATAAATTCTAACCCCTCAATTTTTTAAACCATATCTAATATTTATCTAGAAGTAATTAATTATTTATAAATTATAAATTTTATATTTAATAGCTAAAACGTTAGAAATCTTATTAACTACATTTATTAAAGCTCATACATTAAATTTGTAGTTTAATATTTTTTTTACCAAACATATACTTTTAAAACGGTAAGATTGACGACAATACGTAACTAACTAAAATGGATAGGTGCAAGGCACTGAGCGAAGTAGGGCTAGACCCTCTCCATCGTAGACACGTTTCAAAACTGTAAAGTTGACGACGATAAGTAACTAACCAAATCAGATAATATCTGCTAGCGGTGAACTTGGATTGTTACAAATGGTATCTAAACCAAACACGGGGCGGTGTGCCAATGAAGACACTAGGCTCCAAGGAGGTGGATGATGAGGTGGGAGAGAAATAAAACATTCCTGAGGGTGTGGAAATCTCTCCCTAGTAGGCACGTTTTAAAATCGAGAGACTAACAGCAATACGTAACGAGCTAAAACGAACACTATCTGCTAGTGGTTAATATTAATAAATAAATTAATATAAAATATATAGTTTTTTACTAATATAATATTTAAATTTTGAGAAATACTTCTTAACATTACATAACCATATCCATATACCGTCCAATATATATATATATATATATATATATATATATATATATATAATCCAAGTATTATTTAAGCTGGAATTATGAATTAATAATTTAAATAGCTTTTATTATATTGTATTATATGGAAATTATATATGTGCGTGTGCCATGTCGGTTTCATATAATATATATTAATCTTATTCAATAGTTTATGGTTAGCTTATTCGCGACATCTATTTTGATATAAAAAATAATTAAAATTTTTATTTATTTAAAGAAAATGTTAAAATAAAAAACAAAAAAAGTGGCGTGGAAAATCCGATGGTACAACAGGTCAACGGCGTCTTAGGTGGAGTGGGCCCCGAATGACTAGGCAGAGATTTTGTCTGCTTCTTCGACAATTCCTCCCTCCAAAACCACTTCCAGATTTGGCTAAAACCGTCGGAAATATTATAATATTTTTTTTTTACTCGTACATTGTTTTTACCCTAATTTACATTTTTTTTTTGTTTAAATAAATTTAAAATTAACATGGTGAGAAATTTAATAATTAATTTCTAAATTTAGATAAGATTTAAAGTTCTAAGAATTAAATAAATGAATTTAAAAGTTTACATTGAATCCACCTATTTCTATTATTATTTTTTTATCTTATTTATAATAGTTTTTTATCATCTATTCTCTAATAATTCTTAAAAATGAAAATTTGAAATATTTGGAATATATTTTTTAAAATATATATTAAAGTTAAAAAGGTAAATATTTGAAAATAAATAAATAATATTTTGTCTATCAACTCAATATATACTTGTTTATATTGATTATTTTTAAATGCTGATATACATATATCGTCAGAATATTTGTCCTTATCCATAAAAGCCTAAAAACCCAATTATAATAATAATTATAATAAAGGAGGATGAGGTAATCAACCTTGGATATATCTTTGTGGCAAAATGTCGTTGATTATATATATATATATATATATATATATATTATAATTTCGTTTTTAATTCTCATTATTTTTATACCTCTTTTAGATAAAAATAAATATTTTACTGATTTAATTTTTAATAAAATAAAAAAATTATTGAATTATTGATAAAGACTAAACTAAAGCAGAATTCAAGACTTCTGCATCAAAATTATTATTTTTAAATAAAAAAAACTGAACAAAATGTTAATTAAAATAAAGTAGTTTAACATCTTATATAAGTAACTTTTAAGAAACGTAATATTCGTTAAAATAATCATAAATGATCTATTTAGTTTTATTCCATTAATTAAAAAAAAAAATAGAGAGGCAAGCTTCATGATGTTCTACAAAAAGTAATTTCATGAAATTAAAAAAAAAAAAAGACAGCATATGATTGATCATTGATGTAAAATATATTAATTTTTTAAATGTTGTAAAAGGATATATTAATTATTTTCATATATGAATTTCATTTTTTTGGAGCACCACTCTCTAAGAACTCTATAAGAAGTTTGACTTTAAATTTTCTGATTTATACAATATATAAGGTAATATTAGCCTAAAAAGGGGTATATTATTTACAATTAAAATCATTTACGGTTTAAATAGCTTTTTTTTTTTTTTTTTTAAAGAAAAATTTAAATGAGTTTTTCTTTTTGCTAATTATTAAAAATACCAATGATAATTAATTTAATTAATCAACGGATATATACTGTCCAATTAGCACCATTTTCGATCCCGTCAAGGAATTTTAAATTTAGAAGAGGAATCAGTGTGGCATCGTTGACATTCCTGGCTTTTGGATATTATCAATAGTTAAATGGAGAAAATTTTAAAAGTATTTAAACTTTTAATTTTGCAACTTATAAATTATTAAAATATTTTTTAAAAAATTAATGGATTAATTAAATATAAATTTAAACTTTATAAACTTTTAATTTTATAATAATTTTGAAAGTTTATGAATTGGGTAACATATTTCATAAATGAATTTAATTAATTTGGTAATGATAGCCCATAAATATTATTGCATAATAAATGTGGGCGAAAATAATTAAAGACTAAATTACACGGAACAGGCTCTATTATTACGTCATATATTTGAACAGAACAAAAGTTACAATAAAATAAGAAAAAGAACGACCAACTCCCCCAATGAATTGAATTGGACTAACTAGCCGGCAGCTGACCTACCGTCGCCGGCCGGCCGGCCGACATATCTGAAAATTAACAAAAAAAAAAACATCTAATTCTTCTTCTTCTTTCTTCTTCTTGGCATTACAGCGTATGTATTACGTTAGGACCATTAATGGATATGTTTGTTTACTCACATGACAGAACAAGCATTTGGATTCTCGTCGCTGAACATCTGAGGCGCGTGAGAGTGATCGTACATCGGCATGGCGTAACCTTGGTGCGCGTAATTTTGATTTACGTAATAGCCGCTGGAATTTGCGAAGCTGTGGATTGGAGAGTAGCTCGGCTG